GTCGAACCGTTCGCGTGGGGCGGTCTCTGCAACTAAATCTTACTTCGTTTAAAAAAGGGTCGTTATTAATCTGTAAATGTGTTCTTCACCTCGATTTATACTCGATAACGTGTGTATGTATGCATGTGTGTGTGTGTGTGTGTATGGGTACGTTTCGTGAAAATTTGTTTTTATATGTATATATGTAAATATATATATATATATATATATATAATAGCAATACTCGATTTCTCGTGTTCTAATAATTATAAAAAATATCCTCTAGTTTTCCTCAGAATTAGTAGAGAGCTCAAACCTATGTTCTACTTACGCGCCTATGTAAATAATAATAATAATAAAAAATATATATAAGAATAATAATAATATTAATAATTAATAATAATAATAATGTTTTCGTGTGATTTAACAAGCTACCGCCAAAAAAAAGAGATTAAAACTGAAGAAGAAAAAAAATGCCTAACGAAGTAACTGTCCATTTTTCCATTTGTCCTCGCCTAACTGATGTTACTCTGCATAAATAAGTACGTTCTCTTCGCGTATGGTACACTTATAAAATGGTTATGCTACACAAGTGGTGTTTCCGTCGACGAAATTTAAAACTGGCGTTTCCCGGGGCCGTTTGACAATGCAAACGCGCCCCGTTTCAATAAAATCGTTTTACTTTCGATTTCGCCTCCCCCGCGAACGGGGGAGCACCGGCTAAGCCTAAAAGCGGTCACGTAACTTTCAAATAAGTTCGTCAGGTTCGCTGGATCGAAGATTTTCTTGAAACCCGTGGGGGTGGGAAACAAGGATTACGGATCAGCGAACGAACCACGCTGATCTCGAGGAAGACTCGGTTCAACGTTTCTCATCAACACGTTTAGATAAAAGGTGAACGCGATCATTCCGGCGAAGGGTTCGTTTCAAAGGCCAAGTCGATCGAACGGCGAAGACAACGCGACGGGATTCGGATGAAGCGATTCCGCTGATCCATGTCGGCACAACATATCCGTTTCATCCCCGAACGTGAAGACGGATTAACCGCAAGGTTCGCGCGCGCGCGTTGTCGACCGAGACTTATTTAAAAGGTACGTCGCTCCTGAACCTACTCGTGAAACAGGAAAAATATTGAATATGTACTAAATGGAAGGATCATTTCGACGCATGAGAGAGAAAGCTTAGCAATCTGTCATTCGGATCGCACTAGTGAGAAACCTCATCATCGCTTATGTCTCTTCCTCCAATACTCGGGTAGTCAGTAACGAGATACCACGTGCGCAGTGCCATTCCTGTGAAATCAACGTCGTTACAAGATCCGTTACGCGTATTGCTAGACTGCGTGTGATTATACAAGGCACGATAAAATAAAAATGTTTTCTTCTTTTACACACTTCCGCCGTCTCTCGTTTCCGTTCCTCGAACGTTCATTCTTTCGAGACCGCCGAGAGAAGAAGGAGATATTCTTATCTAGCTGTCGCCGATGTAAATTAACGTATAAAACTGTGAGTTGACATAAATATTCGCAGTCCACGTATATCGCTGATTATTAAATTATGTGTATTCATAGATATACTATTTTCATGAAATATCGATCACACGAACCAATTAATTCATCATCGTATTTACAATTGTCTTGGCGGAGAGAGAAAGAAACAGCACTGATCCGTGGTACCATTGGTACTCGTATATTAATATAGAATAGTATATTTGTATATGCATATATATATAATATATGTATTATATATATATATCTATACGAGTGTGTTCATAAGGCTCCTTTGATAACGACTAAAGACTAAGTTTTGCTCCACGGGGTTGCTGCGAGCGAATTTGAAAGCTCTGCGCGGCAGCTTTTGCCAGGAGGTATCACTGACGAGAAGACTGAGAAAAGGCAGGGGGAGCGGGGAGAAGGGGCAGAGAGAAAATGAAGGGAGAAAATGTATAAATGTTGTGCATGACGTTGTGAAAGAGAAAGATAAAACGTTAATTTTTATCGTATGCCCTTAACTATACTCTATGTTACACAGACTAAATCTATTTTTGGCAAAGTTGTTTATGTATACAATGTTAGATATTACGATACATGAGTAGATGCACTGGCCATCGTATTATGTGCTATTTAGCTTCCCTTAATACCTGTTTATTAACACATGATCTGTACAATCCGGAAAAAAGTAAATCAGTGATAGCCCTTAGAGAGAAAGAGAGAAAGAGAAAGAGAGAGAAAGAGAGAGAAGAAGAAGAAGAAGATAATAACGGCCGTGAAAAGATTACCCCCGGCTGGCAGGCCTATTTTCACCCTACTGTCGTAAAGAAGACGATGGAAACACTATTATTATCTTTAACAGCGAAAGAGTAATTAACGATTACTATTTTCACACTGAATACGAAAAAAATATTCATCCGAGAAGAACGCAAAAAGCTTTATGGGTCGATTGTAACCGCAATAAATTACTTATCTATCTATCATAATTTGGCAACAACCTGTATAAAATTCTGTATACAATACTTTTCTTTCTTTTTCGTTCTTTACGCCTGCATATTACTAGAAGTTCTGTCATGGGTTAAAATGACCATCCATCCTGAACAGGGTTAATTACCGAGCGGGAGAGAAATCACAGTTTTTCCTCTTTTCTTTTTTCTACAAATATACAAAAAAAACAAACAAACAAAAGCGAACAGAGTTGGGAGGATAAAAATTTGGAGAGAAAAAAAAAATATGATTGTGAGGTCGATGAATGCCCGCAGCGACCGTGGAGCAATAAAATTTGTTACTTTTAACGTCCGGCATACAGATGAGTGTAATCTAAGTATTACTTCCTGAAGTTCTTGTATGTTTGTTCATTGTCGTCGAGAGAGCATGTGAACGAGTATTGTTTGACGACAATCTATCCTACGTACCATCGCGTTTCTTATTGCTTTCGGAGTCTTAACTTACATGGTGGTTGCGCTGTTTCGTCTATTTAAGTACAAATTATTCGACGACTGCTTATTAGAGGCAGTCGAAAAGCCTTCCGAGACGTTACGGGTAGTAAGAAAGGGGCAGAGATAATACGTAAAAGGTAGAAAAAAAACAGTATTAAATGTGTTCACACCGGCAGTCTCGTGCTCACGTAAAATAAAAAGTACCTACATGGTCTAAATAAAGATCCTGTTATTTTGTAAGTAAGTATTCCGCGCGCTTTCTGCGCGCGATTAGAGCTAACGGGGTAGAGGGAAGAGATAAATCGCTGAAAGGCCACTAGAGTATGATGATACTGGCATTAACGTAATTTGGCAAAGCTCAAATTGCCGAGTTACGCATCGGACAATTGTACAGTAAACATTTGCCACATCGTGTAACCGTTTTCTGTTCCATTAATCCTCCCACACCTAACCAGAGAGGAAAACATCCCCTGTTTAAAGCCGATTTAAAAAATACATCTTCTCTTATTTCCTCGCTCACTAGTTTGAATCAGCTGGGTCGTTTCTTTCACTTAATAATTACGCAAGACAACGAGAGTATTATGATTGTTACCGACGTCACTGACAGCTAAAAGCCCGTGGAACAAAACGGTGAAATTTCGTTCACTAATACCGTTTAGTGACAAATCTTCATTATTTTTTTTTATATTCTACTTCGTATCTTTTTCTTCTTTTTCTTTTTGTCCTTTTTAACTTCTAAAGCCTTTCCGAACAGTAAATCTAGCACCGTTCTTAGACACTTTCACCGGTGACTGCGTTTCTTGCGTCACTAAGAAAACAGCTAACGACCACCATTTTACATCTTGTTTCGACGCGAGAAATACGTGCGACACCGAAAGAACAATTTGCGCGTGTATGTACAACGATCGCCCGTCGCTCTCTAGCTGCAAGCGTACAAAATTTTGTATAAAAATATTCTTCGTATCATCCGTGTATATATATGTACATATTTCGAATAACCACGTAATTAATACTGCGTATTTAATATCATCGTTCCTTCGTGCGCTCTGCACCACGGGCTTGGTAGCTCGCGGGAAATGGATCCCCAGAATGTGTTCTGCCACCTTCGGTTCTCGACACCACGGGAATAGAGAGAATAGAGAGAGAAAAAAGAGAGCTCGAGAAAAGGAGGGAATATCTCCTTGAACGAGAACTTGGTAGCAGAAATCATAAGGAGAACAATCTCGTCTTGTACACCCTGTGTATCACTGGACAGACTATGCTGTCTAGAGATTCCTTGTTATATATATATTTATATATTTTTTTATATATATATATATACTTAGCAAAGTCGTTCTGAAGCTGGCCAAAATGTATTTCAGTGTGTGTCTTCGGATAACGACGTCGCAACTAGGTTCAACGGTACATCCGAGACATTTTCTTCATCCCCCTCTTCTCCTTCTTCTGCATCACCAGGTAAATGACATTGTTCTCGCCCCTCTGTTTTCACGTGCTGCCATAAAAATCAAATTACAACTGTTCACTCAAGAATACTAGATAATCATGGATCGTTGATAAAATGAAAATACGATTCGTTTTATAAAACTGTTCATGCAGTATAAGTGTTAATTACAATCTTAATAATAATTTTCTACTTACATGCATCATGTAAGTGGGCAAAGGGAGGGAGTAACTAAGTTGAGCGGCAGCTGGTGGTGGATGGGCACCAGGTATACGTGGTGGCGTTAACGCAGCAGCCATCATTAAGTGAGGTTGAATTTGTCTTCGTAAAGCTGCCAACATATCCGCACTTTCTGCATCCATTTGTTCTGATTGCGGTGGCAATATTGTGTCTCCTTTTTCTGAAAACGTATCTGTGTTAATATACAACGAGGAGCAAGAATATTTTAGCATCGTTGACGGTGTAAGATAGATAAGTGAAATTCCTACTTCTGTGCCTTGTCGGTTTTTCACCCTTAGGTCTACGTCTACGCGTGTGTATCGTATCCCTTCGCATAGTAACTGGACGGTTCACCCCGTGGAGTTTATAATAAAGTCCACAAGCATTACAAACCATCTCCCCTTTCATGTTTCTTCTCCAAATGGTTGTAGTCATGGTGCCGCAATTTGTGCAGGACATGTCTACTTTTTTAGTCATGTTACCGCTGTGCTGATCAAATTGTTGTTTCTGGTCTTCCACCTTTAATAACAATCGTGTATTGAATATATTTCAATTGCACAGAACAATCGAATGTCAGCAATTAATCGTACCTTCACCTTCATTTTATTTGACCACGCAGTAAAATCTTGTGCTTGTTCTTCGTTGGGTTCGTGCTGGTAATTAACAATGTCTGGACTCATTGGTGCTTTACTAGGGTAACTTTGTTTTCTACGGCCCTTTGTCTCCTTCCGACCGATACTGGCTGGGCTAGACGGATTACTATCCACGGAAGTACCCTGAATGAAATTATAATAATATTCTTCAGAAAAATGTAATGGAGTAAAATCTACATATTTGCTTTTTATTTAACAAAAACATGTAAGAATGAAAATAAATTTCGAATTTATAATTTTAATCTGTTCATGGACGTGTGTTCATGATTGTTTCAAAGTTCGTTTCTAATCGTGAGTTTTATAACTTGTAGAATATTTAAGGCTTTAAAATCTCGGTGCAGGTACGGGCAGTTTAGTCGAAGGTCTGGAAAAGTAGCTATAATTCCCTGTAGGTACCTGTTATCAGGACAAAAAGCCAATAGAATGGAAAGTGCCACAAAGGATACTGCAGTCCTGTTTCTTATTATACTAGAAATTGAAGAATTCCTCGCGCGGAACAAAGCACGTTCCAAAATCTATAGAAACCCAACTTATCTGAACATCTGTTAACAGCGGGTTGACATGGTGGGCTCAGCGCTTATAGCCTATCACAAAGAGGCTTCCCAGTTATCTATTATCTACAAGGCCTACCACCACGTTTCTTACCTGCAGGCAGATGGGACCTGAATAGCCCCAAAAGGGATCCCTTGACACCCAAGGGTCACCTGACCTGTCTCCTTTTCTATACCTGCAGATCTCTTCTGGTATTTGCATTGAACAAACTGCAAGGACTTCCCATGGAAAACTTTTATTTGCACGGAGATATCAGGGTCAAAAGAGTAGGAACATAAAGGAAAAGCAAAGATTCCCCGTTTTTTTTTCCAGAAACCTCTAGATTTTACCTCAACTTCTAACTGCCCCCTCCCAAAAAAAGTCAGTTTTCACTGCTGTTTACACGCGTTATAACATATTTCATTAATATCTGATTAGAAGTTCCCCCTTGTAAATATTTAAAAAGAACAAAAGGATAATTTCTCTCTTTTTCTTTCTTTTTCTTTTCGTTGAAACGACGGTAAAAAATAAAAATATATAAAGTCGTGATTATCGATGACGTATTAAATAGTACAAACCTTGTTTTCTATACAGGGGACATTGGTACGATTGCCGAGTACGGAACAGTCGGGTACTGTACGTTCAATTGTTGTCCCCTGTGTGTCTCTGTAAAACCGAATTTGCGGTGACACTCTGTCGGCATCGACAGCGGTAATACCGATTTGTCTGTTGTTGATTAAAGAACGCAGAAGATTAGTCGCCTCTCCAGTGAATCCATTATTCAATTTGTCGCCATTCGTCCTGGTAATCTCTAAACTCCTATTGCTACATGAAAAAAAAATTATATACTTTCTTAATTCCCCAAAACGACTGAAATGTAGTAACAGTAAGGTGCACAGATAAAGTTGTGCAGGTACTGTTGCAGGTAACCGAGTTCCTACTCTGATCCTAAGTAATAATAATGATATCTTATCTTTGAGATTATACCTGTTGCAGGAGGCAGTTACTTAAGTGATCTATTGGGTAAATATACCTTTAGTCGTACAAGGTATATTTGAATATCCTTAATTGGTAATAATACAAAGTGGTAACAGTGCTTGCTAAACAAATAGGGATAAATAAACAACTCTACTCACTTTGCTAATGCTTGCCACAACTTTGTTGTTTCTTGGTCTATATTGGTGTCTGAACAATTACTTTCTGGCGTGTCCATTCTATTTACTGGGCTGTGGTTGGGGGTACTTGGTTTTGATTCTTCATAATTTGTTTCCATTTTCATTCTTTTATTAATGGTCATGTCATAACCATTCTCCTCCCCCTCTGTATCCTGCTCGTCCCGATCTTCTATTTCTAATCTGTCTGGATCAGAGCTGTTCGAACACGTGTCATCTTCTGGTTCACACTTAATGTTATCATGCTCTGGCATGTCATTGGTGCGCAACTCCAAATGATGCGTTTGTGTCTGAGGTATAACGTTTTGATTAATGCTGGCCGGAGAGTTAGGCTCCTCATTGAACAATGTTTTGTTCAATTGGAGAAATGACTGTAGAGGACTTAAGCCTGCTACTTTGGCAGTGGAGAAAGACTTCTTCTGAAACAAAATAAAGTATCTACTTTTTCTCTGATACACTTGTATATTTGTAAATTGTTTACATGTGTGTGTGTATATAAATATATTTTGATGAAGCATATTAATAAGTTATAATACAATATAATGCATGCTTAAACAATTTAATTCGCGTTTAATTGTTTACAGAATAAAAGAAAATAATCAGTTTCATTTAATGCAGAGAAGTAGATACAGTACTCTGATATTTGTACCTTGTACCTGCTCAGGAGTAAACAGCAAGAGAATAATTAACTATGCATAACTTTTTTTTATAGCACAACCACTATCAAAGTGATAAGGTTAAAGTTGATTGCAATAAAGAAAACCTTGAAATGTCTTATATAATTGCTGATATATCAGAGCACAGAAGCAAATAAATGATGTCCTGCATGTATTACAGATGTGTTAGGATTACACGGAATACACGTGTGCTGAAGCATTCTTATCTACAATCACACATTACACGTTCACAGTTGCATCATTACTAGGAATGGAATGACTACTAGCTCTGTTAGCAACATCAAATAAATTGTTCTTCATTAGTGAACGAATGATACACTTATAAGACTGCTACCAACGTATCACTACGTGTAATTTTCTTAACTACATGCAAAAAATGATTTAATAAATACCTGATCATCGTGCGATGATAACTGCTTGGCATAATCCAGGTACTGTTTGAGTATGACATCAGATTTGTGTGACACCTCACGGAAGTTGTGTAGTACATCCAACTTGTACACACAACGGTGACAAATGATCGGTGGTAATGAATCCCCATCTTTCACCTGAATAACATACAAGAACAAGATCAATTTAATGATCAACCAAGACCTTGTTTTTATATCATGCACGGCTTGCATTATTCAGTGGAATGTACATTTACGTTATTTCATAAAATGAAAAGGTTTCAAAGAATGTTACATTACCGAAAATAATAATGAAGCCATTCCTATTATAATAAACTAAACAAAAACCAATGAATTCTTTCTACCAATTACCTAAATTCCTTTCAAGCCAGTTAAGATCAAATTAATAATACAAGTATCTTATATTATCCAGCAACATAGTTATCCCATTGATAATATGAAAGTCGAACAGTAAATCTAATTCGAAGCATATATACATATACATGTATATAAAAAAAAATATCTCAACAACTATTCAAACAGTAAGAAATAATTCCTCGCGCGTAGATCGAAGAAAATCGGAGGATACGAGATCTTGGTCCAGACCATGCAACACATGGATCCACGGGAAAGACAGACGATGCCGAACGGGAGAATTCGACGTTCAAAGTAGGTTGGACGGAAGCAGAGCTTTCCTCCAGAAGAGCATATATAGTGAACCATGGACGGGAAGACGAATTACGGAGGGAGAAGAGTAGCCACGCAGGGAGCAGAGTGAAATGTGACAGCGACTCGTGGAATCCGCGTGTGAAACCTGATAACAGGCCGTCTAAATAAGGAGCTGCTCCCCTCTCCGTGAGATCCGCGCAAGCGAGGAGCCAGAGCTTATCACTGCCATTTTAAATGCCCCCGTGAGTAGTCGGCTTATCTCGCGGACACATCTCTTGCCAAACTTTCTCCCGTGGCACGCGCACACACACACCACACACACTCACATACACACACACGTACACACATGCACACACACACGTACAAACAACACACGCACCCTTGAGAGACAGCGAGCAAAGAAAAGAGACGGAACGATGCGACGTAGACGAGGACAGACGAGGCGAGCGAACGAGCGAGCAAGCGAGACGAAGCGAGAACGATGGGAGCGCGCGCGAGAGAGAGGGAGACACACTGATAATGCGAGGACCACAGATGGTCGCGTCTGATTTATCATCGCAACGGCACGAGGACCCGGTGAAAACTCGGGGACCGAACTCACCGTAATCGAGAGGCACGTCAGTATCTTGTCGGCGAAGTTTCGCTGGGCGCCCTCCTCCTCGAATATGGACAATTTGACACCGTCCGACGATAAACAAAGGCGACACAGCTCGTAGAACTTGGGCGGTACATCGAACATAATTGTGAGCTCCGGCTACGTTGCGCCCTGCGTAAAGCGCGAGTCATCAAGAGGTAGACTCTTTCCTTGGCCGACGTACTATCTTTCTCCACTGCCACTACGCGTTTAGCGACGAGGAAGGGTACGCGATCACTTATCACAGTCACCGCCGCGGCTCATTGTCAGCGGCACAGTACATACGATCATGCAGTTTCGATTATAGGTAGAAAGGAGACTAACGCGAGTGCTACCTGCGTCTCTCGGTTCCTGATCCTCGCCGCTCGGCGGCGCTCGTCCGCTCGTGGAACCATTTTGAAACTGAAACGACGCGCACAACGAAAAATAGAAAAGATTATTTCGGATAATTCGTTCTTCTCGACGGTGTAACTTGAATTGTTGTTTTAAATAAATAATTGAATTGTCCTTACGGTTTTATTATTTTCCTCGGAACGCTACGAAGAGGACGACCGGTACCATTTCGTTTGGCAGGTTCGATTCATCTTTAATGTTCTCCGATGGTCTATCCCGTGTGTTTATTGATTAAGATGAAAGCGCTCGAGGTGGTTGATCTATAATAAACAAATATTATATACTATTACGTATTCGAACGTTCTAATCGTTGACCGATAAATTCATTTTCTTATGGACCCTCGCGCGACGTTTGCTCTTAAATGATTCTTCGAAACGAAAGGACACTGTTACATCTCGATCGTGTTGTTATTATTAGCTGAACCGAGACGTTGACGGGCATGTTTTTTAACAAAATAACAATGGCATTTGAGATACTTGTTTTCGCTGGAGTCTTCGGACTTCCAATCAAACGCCGCGCCATCTTTCCTCTGCCATTTTTCTGGACCGACTGATTTTCCTGTTACACTTGTTATGTAATTTAGATCGCGAGAAGGTGTAAAATATTATCGATACCCGCAGATGCAGGATGAAAACGAAAGCCACGGCATTGTTCTGGTCAACCCTGTCGTAATCCGTAATAATAATTCAGATCTTTTCGAACGCGGAGGCTGATGCACGTTCCAGTTTTCAGATTACGTCGTTCGTCTTATTTATATTCGCGTAACAGATACTTCTTTCTCGTTCCTATGCACTTTATAAAACGTAACTGTACTTTCGCATCGCGTACGCTGAATTCAGGATAAAGAGGAATCATCTGAAACGAAGGCAAATGGAAATTTACCGCTAAGGATCGGCAAACCGACGGATTTTCAAATGTATCTCCTGGAGATCGGTTCTCGTTTTTGTTACAAAAAAAAATCCCGATATGCGCATCGACGATTCTATGCCTTTTCGCGCGAGATGTAACGCGAGACGAATGTATCGCTAATAAAGGATCGAAGAGCCAAATCATTGGAAATCGCGTTGAAATATCGTTCCGGTGCGATGGTATTATTTTAAATGATTAGAAAAAACAAAAAAGGAAAAAAAAAGAAAAACTCAATTAACGACTCGATGGTTCAATGTCATACGTTCTGCGGAAATCAGTAAGCGAATCGGTGGAAGAAACAGGTTTCTTATCACGCGTCATTTTACTAGGAATTTTATTACATCGAATAAGTAGCCCAACCCATAAATAAATCAGGCAAACGGGGGGAATGACTAACGCAAGATTACGCGACCCATCGGCCACTTTCGGCCCACGCTATTTTATCACGCGTTTAATCCGATCTTCGTACGTATAAGGTTATGATACACACAACGGTCCATGAATTCCGAGTCGTATCTTAACTGTTTGTACGTTGCGCTGTCATTAATTGCTCTTGACGCTCAATTAGAGAACGACATTTAAATTTCTTTCTTTCTTTTTTCTTTTTTCCTAGTTCTTCGAGGAACGTTTTTATCTCCTCTTCGCGACTAAATGATCACTCGTGAAATTGCACTGCCTTTATATATCAACATAGAGCTTTTATTATTGTTATTATTATTATTATTACCTATAACAATATTTACATGAATGTACAAGTAACACGCATTTTTGGTAAATGAGTGTTCGAATCACACAGAGTGCCAGACAAAGATAGAACCGTACTATGCAAGAGAAGAGAAACTTCTTCCTTTTGAAGAATTAGCTCATCAAAATTATTATCGAATGTTTAATAGTTTAGAAAACTTAGGTGTGAAAATTAAGGTGTGTCATGGATACTAACTTTTGCTGTTTTATGCTTGGAATAGTACGAGTTTCATTTCTCTGTTCTGGCATTAGACATCATGAATATTAATCAAAGATGAGTAATTCTACCGTATGTACACTCCCTGTATAGACACATGATGCACTGGAAAAAATAGTCTTATCAATGAGTTACTATCTTTATGGAAATAGCAACTATAAATACATTCTTCTTAAAAAACCATTATAAAAGTTCGGAAACTAAAAAGGAAGTTTTGAATTTCATTCCCAATAGTACATTGTAAAGATTTCGATTCCAAATAAATTACTTTAACAAATTCATTGTAAAATCCCAGTAACATTTCATTTCTATTATAAAATATAAAAGATTTATTTCAGAGATTCAATAGATCCCTATTTGAAGCTTCAGTTCTGAGTATTAAAAGGGAATGTTCTGTTTCAACATTGTAAAGAAACATGTACCCTTTTCATGATACACATCCACAGAAGCAACACAAAACTGTTCAAATATAAAGTCCCATTCATTTGCACGGAATATATACATTTCAACTGGACGTGTTTCCCCTTTGCAGAATAAAGTTTTGTGAGGTATATACTGTACATATAATATGAGGTCATGAAAGAACTTAAATAAAGTAACATTTACCAGAATTTATCTATCATTAAATTTATATCACAATTCGCTTTTAATCCTTTCTCTCCCAGAAACGATCTGTTGCGGAATAGCAACTTCCATTTGAGTGCTATTCATTTTACTATCTAACTCAATTAATCTAATATTTCTGTAATATTTCCTATATTTCTTTCTAATAAGTTCCACTTTATGTTGATCTTTCTTGAGATCTATGATAGAACCTAACATTAAGTGTATGTCCTTAATATGCGATAACTTTAATAAAATTAGTTTTCTTTTGTTCCTAGCACTTTTTCTTCCAAATAAATTAATATGTCTAATAAACTTTCGATAATCCCGGAGCAATTGTTGAATAATATCTAGGCACAGCCAACGTGTTCGAGCAATGCATGTATCTGGTTGCTCACCGGCTCCAGATTCACAAATATTTACAAGAGCTTCGACGTGCGAGTCCCCATCCAAATTTGCCAAAACGAAGTTAACGAGATTAGGAATGGTAATTGGCAGAGAAAACGGATAGACCGTGCTATCCTCTTTTCTGAAATAATACAGCATAAAGCTTATTATAGTATTCAATTAAATCAACTTCATTGTAATTACCTTTTGGCAGGAAAAAACAGAATAGATGGGAGTCGGTTCATATTATATTCCCACGGTAAATCATTGTTATCACCGTCAACTCTGACGAATAGAAGATGATCCATTTTACGCAGGTAATGAGCCACTGATAAATATGTATACGAAATTGCGCTACAAAACCCACAATACGGAGAATGGTACATTACAACTACATCCTATATGAAAATCATTAAGTTTAATACATGTCCTAATTATAGTTTCACTTTGTATCGACGTGAATTTTCTTCCAATTTACCTTTATCGGATCTAAAATAGTATCCAAGAAAGTTTCAGTTGTTAATTCCGGTATGCACATACTTCTCGGGACATCGTTCGCTTCGCAAGTGACGTTATTTTTTAACTTCTCAGTGAAACGTCTTGAGCTACTCGAGCGTAGAGTGCGTTGTAAAAAACCTTGAGTATAATTATTTATAAATTGTACAAGTGTGTATCGATTAAAATCGTCCTGCATAACATATTGACTTTCATGCTGAAAAAATAATTATCCCTTAAATCGTGACGATAAAGGCAATAAGAAAATTTGAGACTTACTGCGGCATCTAATATTACAACAGCAGTCTTATCTTTCCTCTTTAAAATGTCTATTCCAAGACCTTCTGCAAAATGGAAATAATGCAAACTGTCAATTGCTATCAATGACAATGTTTTATTAATTTCA